ATGTCCTTTTCACGCAAAAACAAAAGGCCGCTCATCTCTATTATGCAGCGCCGCGTCGCGGTGACAAAGGTTATAATCACAGGCAGAAATCCATCATCACGATCAATATTGGGGCATCATGTCGTCGTACCAAGGGTTGACGCTACTTGGAGAAGATTTTCAATTTTGCGATTCTGCGCTAGCCTAGTACAGAAATCTTCCGATTCCTTTCTAGCACTGCTAGGAAGGAATCGGAGATGCTGACAGACACCGAAGTCTAGTATTGTACGGTGTCTGTAAATTTATAGGCACCAAATTGTAGGTACAGACCGACACTTGACACCTTTAGCGGAAATAACAGGTATTTGGTGATATCTCGGATGGCATCCCCGTTGCTTTTTTAGACTTGAGGAGGTAGATTTGCGCGCAAAGAGGCAATTATGAAAGGAATCAAATATTTACAGGAAAAAACATTAATTTTTTTTTTACAATAAATCTGCGCAATATCTACCGAACTAAACTGGTAATAATCGTTCCCTATCAGAAAAGGATGTAAGTAGCGAGAGATTGGCAAAAACGCAAATCCAGACACCCGTGATTTTACTCTTTTTAAGTAATTTCGAGCTCTGTTTATTTTTTTGCAAACTCGTCTACATGAATGTTAATAGAAGTTTCATACTCGAAGACCACATGGGAAGAGAGGGGGAAGGATGTTCATTCATCTACCTCTTTTTTCACAAAATTAAATGTACCCACTTACTGCGCCACTTAAATGTGCGTACGATGAAACTCGACGTTTGGGTCATAGAGATCTCTGAAGTCTTTGGGATCGTATACATCTGAAAACCTCAGGAAAATCTGCGGAAACTGCGACGTCTAGTTGCCAAAGTTCCGGTCACTCATCTGAGGTACTTCGGTGATTTTTCGGTCGGAACTTCCTCAGAGAGTCAACCGAGCTTTAGACGTGTAACACAAACTTCGGTAGCTGGAGCTCAAAAGTTTTCGGATCTACGATCTGAAAAAATCTTGAGATTCATAATGACCCCAACTTCAGGTTCTCGCACGAACTTTTTCCTCTGCGGAATATTCAACATGGGACGCTTTTTCAGTAACCTGCTGTAAAGGATGTGTCATACGATATATTATGGCTGTTTAAAGGTTAAATGAGTAAAATTCACACAATTGGATTTAATCACTGTTCTCAAAATACGCTGATACGATTTTCAAATGTCATAATTTGCACAATTCATGGTCACAATTAATATCTACCATATTCTTAAAATGATTGCAGATATCATTTTTTTTTCTTTTTTTCCTTTTTTTTTGCAGTTGATCCTTTAAGATTGAATACACAAAACTATGGCAAGAACGATGTGGCCTCTTGAGTTAATGAGTAGAAATTGGCAACAAGATGCAGCACCGGTGATGTTTTGCCTCACGTGTCATTTTTCCACTCTTATCGATTTGCGGTTTTCGCCGCTATTCCCACGTTGTGGTGGTTGGTTCCCTGACCAACGACCAGAGTTTGCTGACTCCAGCGAGGGTGGCAAAACGGCTGGGGAAAGGTTTGTATTATCTCCCTGCCGCAGGTCAGCGTTGATTGCTTTGCGCGTGGTGCAAAGTGCAACCCGATCGGGAAACACGCTTGCCACGGCAGGCACGGTAGCGGTTTTAGCGATAGACGCATGACCTGTCACAATGATAACCGCACGTGAGAAGCTTTGTGCTACTCATCGGTACATAAGGTGCCTTACGACACGATCGGACGAAGATAAATGCCGGAATCACACACTGAATATGGATGTCAACAGTCATCGCTCAACGGCTGAAATTTCGCAAATTCGAGTTATTTTCATCCAGATTTGTATTAAATCTATTCGAATAGTTCATGCCGCAATCAGACGCTGAATTTAGCACCTGAATGTGGAAGTCAACAGTCATCGCCCAACGGCTGAAATTTAGCAAATTCGAGTTATTTTCATCCAGATGTGTATTGAATCTACTCGAATAGTTCAGACAAATTCAAAATTGGTCCGATGGTTGCTGAGAATCGTTGCTGAATTTTGCGCGTCACGCGCAAAATTCAGGCATCGGGCCACTGACTTCCACATTCAAGCCACATTCAGCTCCCACATTCAGCGTGTGATTGCGGTGTCAGAAAAATCCGACATTATCCGATGGTCGCTGAGAATCGTTGCTGAATTTTGTGCGACACACGCAAAATTCAGGCATCAGACCGATGACTTCCATTCAAGCCATATTCAGCGTGTGATTTCGGCATTATTTTCATCCAGATGTGTATCAAATCTATTCGAATAGTTCAGACGAATCCGACTTTATCCATTGGTCGCTGAGAATCTTTGCTGAATTTTGAGCGACAAGCGCAAAATTTAGGCATCGGGCCGATGACTTTCACATTCAAGCCTCATTCAGCTCCCACATTCAGCGTGTGATTCCGGCGTTAGGCGAAAATGAGCGCTTACTTGGTACCTATGCCAACAGTAAAAATAGAGGTCCTTTTCAACCAGAAAATCGTTCCTGAAATACAAGTCGCGACAAGAATTCTCGTTGAATCAATCGGAAATCTCTTTGAAGTGACAGTATGTCACCACGATTAAGAAAGATACTGTTTAAGCGAGGAGACTTTTTGTTGTTTCAACGGGAAATCCAGTGTAGGCATTTTAACAAGAATTCTAATTGATTTACCAGGGATATTTTCTTCAGTGGCGGAGCTGAATGGTTGTCATCAAGTTTTGGGATTTCTGCGATATCAATTTCTCCTCATGCAAATTTTCATAATTAATGTTGGGGGGTACACACAGTTTGTAATAAACAATTTGCAAATTGCAGTACTTCAGATGATAGTAATTATGGGGCCGATCTTGAGTTCAAAATATTTTTTCATAATTTTCCATACCCGCGAGAAAGCGGGGAAAGTAGACTTGAAAGGGAGACATTCATCGCTCTATGGTATCTTGGAGATATTTGTCTTCTATTTTAATACGTGTATGTAAGCAGATTAGGCGATCAATGCATAACCCTTCCCACAATGGTCTGATTTAAAAAATAAAGAAACATGCCTCATGTTCCGAAATACCACTCCAATGTCTTTAATTTATTTGATGGAATACAACTTAACCAAAGTCATTGCTCAGCATGTTTTTACAGAATTTCCTTCAAACAGCGAGAACCTTTTTTTTTCATAGAAATTGTCAAGATATTAGGCACATTGGTCAGTATCAAAAAAAAGAAAAAGAAAAAAAATAATGAGCGAAATCGGAAACAGAGGTGAGGTGATTTTTTCTTTTCGCCATTTATGTAACACTCCGGAAATACATGCAAAAAGTTGGTTTCTTTTTGCTTACGCTATTAAATTGATTGAATTTTTCCATCGTAAGTTTTAACAGAAAATTTTAAGGAAATGTGGTAAATGTCGTACCGCATGTTGATTTTCGGCTGAATTGTTCATGCAGGATTTACTACGAATAACTCGTTCAATACAGCACCGCTTATCGCTTACTTTGCAAGCTAGAATGTCACAATTCATAATTTGTCAAATCCTGTCGCCGCTGAAACTCGTAATCAACGGATCGCAAGCCAGTTCTTTGACGCGATGCGCTGAAGTGCAGTAGCCGGTAATGAAAACACAATGCGGTCAAAATGAACAGCAGTGACGCAGCGCACAGTGATCTGAATGAAAAACGAATTCAAAAGGTTAGAAACTATTTTCTACAAAAGCGATTTTATGGCTAAGGGCTAAGGCTTCCCCCCCTCATACCACTCGTATGCCCGTCACTCGAAAAAAGAATCAGAAGAGATAGGAGAAAAGGATGAATTACTTGAAGTGAATCCAGCAATGCAGTTCCGTAAGAACGACTGAACTGAAAAATGACTTGAATCCACAAGAATTAGTTACATACCTGAATATTTGTCCTTTTTTCTATTGTTCTCTTCTGTTTAATACTCCCTCCTCTTTCCCCCCTCCCCCCCGCTCCCTTTCCCAGATCCGTAGATGAGGGCTAAAGGCGAAACTTCTGTTACCCACAATCATTACCGATCAACTCGATTTTTTCGCTGCAGACTTAGGCTTTTATTTTTGATTTGTTTTGCTTCAAAATTTGATCCTTGAGATGTTTTTTCTACTTCTTGGGGATTCAATCTTTATAAAAGTTTATAAAACCGACGATTAATTAAAAATCAAAATAGTGGCAATAATATAATATCAAAGAATATACCATTAATTTACCTCCATGAGAAACGCGCGGGTCTTCGCCCCAAATTTTGACCCCCCTCTCCCTCTCTCCTGTAATCCTCTATAGACACGGGTCCATATCCGAACAAATGCGTAACGCTTTCCCCGACCCCCGAGAGCGTCACGTATTTTATGAATTATAAACGGTCCCATATAGTGCCCTCTCCGATTTCTTGATTTATTTTTGATTTTTTTTAACTCATCGTTTGCTGCACTGCCGTGCTAAGGAAAAACGCCAAATGAACCCTCATGCGTTGCCAATTTTCCTTTGATAAATCACGAATTCCCTGCTAAACCTATGAATATATTTCCTCTAATTTTGCAGATAATTTTGCTCGCGATTTCAACTCAAGATCCTGAAAATTTCAAAGAAAAATGTTCATACATTTGATCAATAAGAAACATTTTATCGAAGGAAATCTGGCAACTCTCGAATGTTCATACGGTGTTCTGCCTTAGGACGGCAGTGCAGGGCCGTCGACCTCTGGAGGAAAACAGACCGTGAAGGGTTGTTTTTGGAATTTGGTCGGATTGGAGGATTGGGCCCCAGAAAAAATTTACGAAGGGGGCCAGGGAACCACGTCTAGGATTTTGCCTCGTGTGCGCTGGTTTGGGGGCGACAGAAACAGTCAAACACCCCCCGCGGTGCCGGGAATGAGTCCAGAATGGAGCTGATGGTGCGAACTCGGGCGGGGAGCCAATCAGCGCCACCCATCCCAAGTGGTCACGGCCGGCGATGCTGCATAAACCCCTCCCCCTTCCCCTCCCGCCCTCGCCTGGCCCAGTTACGCTGCGGGTCACGCTGGGCGAAGGGAATCAGTCTCAAGTACGTTTCCGTGCCATCACGACCCTGACGAAATCGCGACGAGATCGCCCAGTGAATCGTGTTTCCGTGATTGTGTTCGAGAGTCTCCCCAACTTTGGATTTTAAAAGGTGCTGTTTCCCGATTTGTACCCAGTTTTTCGAATGTGAGTAAACTCCCTCTTTTCTTCCTATTGTCACTTTTGCTTGAGCCGTGAATATCATTACTTCTTGTATCTATCCCTTTAAGCCTCATAGTATGTAAAAAATTAAATGAGTTGATTCTTCATACGTGCATTACTTAGTTCCCACTAATATTTGTCCATTTTGAAGGTTAGTCGAGTCAATTGACCCGTGGATAGAAAACACAGAGGCAGTGTCAGTCAATGGGAGTCTTTCAAATTAAGTATCTTAGGGTGGTCTTAGGGTCTTTAGTTTAAGTAATTTGGGAACAAAATTTTCAGCATATATAGATTTTTGCCCATGAGGGGTTAATCTAATGTGTTCACTGACGGACATTCCTTCTGAGACATTTTCTCACTACAATTCACCTCGGTTGATAATTCAAGCCTGGCAGAAAATTTAGCATCATAATTTTCAGAAGGTAAAATAATAATGAAAAATGTGTATACCTCAGACAGCGGCGTTGTTGGCCTTCGCTCATTTTTTTCAAAAAGGAAAATCAACCAACCAACAGTTTTTATTGAAGTTTTCTGTGCTTTTTTGCACTTGCTCTAAAAAAATCACAATTCTACAATTAGATCTTGATTATTATTTCCTCTGAAATTTTGAGATTGAGGTGCCTACACATCGTAGCCATGGATTGATGTTTAGATCTGATGTGACCGTTTTCAGCTAAATTTCTTTTGCTGGGCAAAGAATAATACCGCACACTTTTTCCCTACAATGCGCATCCCTTCTTTCATATCTTTTATTCATTCAAACGTGTGGAGTTTCCCCCTACTTTCATGCATTAATGTTCAGAGGGTTCTGCTGTTTCGCTCATGTATCTGTAGCATGAAGGAGGTATCCGTAAAATTTGAATTTTCTCTCATTTGGAACCTCTAGCCATTTAATTCCAGGTATAAATGTTTGCGTTATTATGAGTAAACCCCGGTTTTAACGTATTCACTGTTAAAAACCTAGAAAGTCGGCAATATCACTCGCGATTTTACAGCTATGCAAGTCGTGCAACATAGCTGAATCTTACTGATGCGTTTTGTTTCGTCCAATTGATTAACCATGTCAAAATGTTTTTAAGCTGGTGATTTAGGCAACGTGCGTTAAATAAAATTCAGCGTGAAACTGAAAATCTCATTTCAGGGGACTATGCTCATTCGGAAAAAGTTTTGCCTCAAAGACACTTGTAATTCAGCTCAAAAAAGATTTGCTTCGAAAGATTATGAGATGCACCGGCAATTTCAAAATCAAACATGACAAAAAATCGAGTTCAATGGGAAAGAGAAAAAAAGTTCTTATGATGAGACAAAGAGATGAATTTCGGGGTCATTTGATGTTACCAACAAGTTTGAGTAATAAGTCATAACCACTTTTGACGATCCTGCTTCGTTTTTATTGAACTGTGGATCTAATTTAAAGCGAGACATGTTAAATTTTTTCATGTAATGATTCAAGATTTTTCTTGAGATTAAGTAGAATGAGTCATGAGAGACGCGGAAAAATTTACTGAAAAGAGAAGGATTTTAAGGCGATTCTTGTTCATAAATACATTCAGTTTTCTGGACTTCTGCATATGTTTTACACTGATAGTGGAAAACCTCTGATTGAAAAGTTAAGAGTTCTTCGCAAAAACGCGCACGTTTTTCTCCTATTTGTTAGACTTTGACATCGACTGTTGGAAGTAACCAAACTCCGTCATCGGTCTTGAAAAGTATCCGAGTGGGTTTCGATATTCCAGTAGTATGAATTGGACGGACAATTTGTGGAGACTTTAACGCTGGGTTAGAAAAAAAGGCGACTCAAAATCACGTCTGCCAACATATAAAATCAGAACAAAATATTTCTCTCAAGTATAGTACAGGTTCGGTTTCAAAAAAACACTTTTTAGGAGACTTCAACGCTGGGTTAGAAAAGAAAGCGAGTCAAAATCACGTCTGCCAACATATAAAATCAGAACAAAAAAGTTCTTTCAAGTATATAGTACAGTACGGTACAGGTTTGGTTTCAAACAAACACATTTTTGGAGACTTCAACGCTAGGTTAGAAACAAGCACGAGTCAAAATCACATCTGCCAACATCTATCATTAGAGCAAAAAAGGTCTCAGAAGTAAAACACAGATTCAATTCCCATACAAACTGATAGTAATGAAACGGTTTTTTTTTTAAAGTAAAATCTGTTGCAAATTGATTTTTTCAGCTGTAGACACAGACTGACATGCTCACTTCATTTCTCTATTTTCTCGATCTGAACCAGAAACCACGTGTTGAAACATGTCCGTGATTTATCCTCCTCCGCGGCAATTTCACAGTTCCCGAGACTTGTTGAAAATAAGGCCCTCAGTCCTTGGTCTTTGCCATGCCGAAAGGCAAGAAACAATTAGGCCCGATCGACGTTTGGTGTGAAATGCCTCCCCCTCCCTCTGGCTATACCCTTAACTCGACAAGGTCATATCGCAGGCGCGACGGATAGGATATTTCCAAAAGGAATTTGGAGCATGAAATTGCAGACAAAGGTTGTTTTTTTTTTCGTCTCTCGAGAATGTCACAGATAAATGAGAGGATTTCCTTCCGCTGATAGAACATAGACCCAAGAAGGACAGCCCTGTAAATGCGGCAAGTTGTAAAACGGTCATTGTCCGCGAATCACTTTTAGATACCCGCTGAGGCCAAGGCAATAAATGAGGAGTGTTCAAGAGAAATTTGAGATGGGTTAGTTGCATGGTTATGCTATTCGGATCATCTTTTGTGGAACTATAGCCCGTTTTTGCGGTTTCGTTGCAGCTATTTACGGTAATGAGGGATAAAAACACAAGCATGTTTCTTTTTATAAGCGACCACTTTCGACGATCTAAACACCCTATCTTTACCAATTAACCCCAACTCAAAATTTAAAGGTTGGGTACCAACTTTTTATTTAAATTAAGACCAGCTTTTTATTTAAATTAAGTTCATCGTCGGAGGGTGCAATTTCATTTTGTTTACATTGACTGACAATCAATCTTCCAGTGCCAGTCATCTATATTTCGTGAAGGGATTGTTTACAAGACCGGCGATACGAAACTGCAGGGCATTTTTATCTAGACAGCAAAGTACTTTCACATTGTCAAGTCGTGCATAAAAGATTTAACTTGGTCACATTTTAGACCTTTGCTTCATTTTTATTTTCTTTGTTTTGTTCTGCTCTGTTTTTCTTATGCTATTTACCTTTTCGCTGAACATGAAGGAATGAATGATTGTAGACTTGTGTCTACTGTAAGCATTTATTATGCGCATATTTGTTGTAAATGAAAATTAACGATTGATAGTTTTTTTTTTTGTTGCAGAGAATGAGTCCAATGTCGGGCCCTGTGACGATCCATGGGGCACCCGAGGGCTGCTCCAGAGAGATGAAAAATGTCAAAGTTTCACTGTCCAACAAACCGCTCTGGGACCAGTTCCATCAGCATCACAACGAAATGATCATCACCAAAACTGGCCGGTGAGTCCTTACTTCCAGTTGCTAGCCTCATTTTTACTTTGCCAGCGATCCACTTTTATTACTTTGATTCAAGCACAATAAATTCCTCAAATCTGTGATCCATCTCGCAAATCATCCCTCTCCCATAGGAGAACAACTAAGTTTGGAAGAATTTCTTGACATTTTCGCGGTAATCATTTTATATTTTAGTGAATAAAAAAAATCACAAAAAATTCAAGAAGATCGGTTAGTTTTTTCTCCTTTCTCTTTAAAAATTAATTTTAAAGCCAGATGCACTGAGTCGTAATAGGATGAACGCATGTTTCGACTTTACCTGTAGCGATGCCCATTGTCCAAGTGGCAGTATGGTCGCGATAAGTTGCAATTTGATTGGAGAATCTACCGCGATTCTATCGACATCGATTTATTGCAATATTATAGGATGAAAAATTGCGATACGTTTCAATCTCATCGCGTAAATTTGCATTAAAATCGCGATTTCATCGACGACGAATTATCGCAATATCATCGAACAAAAAACGTGATAAATTGAGATAAAATTTTGATATTATCTAATGCGATTTTATAGAGATAAAATTGCCACGAGATGAAGGGCAATGGCTCAGGTGTTAATGATCCTAACGATTTTTTCGCCAAATAATCGTAAAAAATTCGCAACTTAATTTCAAACTATCGCAATTTTCCCGTTAAAAATGCTGCTTGGGCTGCTATGCCCGCATTTCAACCCCTTCACCGGATTGACGCCAAGAGAGAGGTGATTGAATTGTGAAGAGGCACCGAAAGTAATGGTAAGTTGACCAATACCAGGAGTGACGATCAATCATACGAGTTGGAAATGCATTCTGTGTCATTCTGTCGTCGTCATTAGCAATCGTCGCCGGAATCCAGTCGTTTCTCTGTTTCCGTGAAGGCGCCGCGAACGCACTTTGAGGTGTGAAAGAAATATTAACGGGCTAAGGTGACTCAGGTGCCGCGCCACCCGCCGCCGACTCGTTATTGTTTATGGCACCCATGTTGCCAATTTTCTCGAGAATTGGAAATATACAAAATCTTGTAAGCGTCATGAAACGCTTCTGCGGTATTGTTCAGCAGCCGCTCTCATGAAATAGGTGACGTGTGAATAGTCAAAAGAATCAATTTGAAGGTTTGAAATTAAAAAAAAAAAAAAAAAAAAAAACTTTGAATTCATATGAAGAAAATTTTGAAGATGCCTCATCCATTTTCCCTTCAATTTTTCGGTTATGCAGTAAGCGTGCTCTAATGTTCGAATAGTTGTATCATTATTTGTACGTAAAGGCGGGAGGATACATAAGTTTAAAAGAGACTGATTCCTGTAACAAGACATAAAAAGGATGGGACGGACTGTAGTCTGCGTGGGATAAAATTAAACATGTTCAAATTGTTTTTATTTCTTCCAATTTCAGCGTTGTTACACCTTTTTACATTTTTTGTTTTTGCGTAAATTGCAGTTTTGTAAATTTGTAGTATTCTTAATTATCGAGGACACCGAGAAACATGTATGGCTGTGACTATATAACAGTGTTCTAACGGCTCATTTGAGCATCTTTATTAATTTCCGGTTTACAGTAACTATCCGTAAGCCTACGTAGGTATACCAATAATGAATGAAGTTTCAAAATTTCCTGTTGACTATGTTTCTACACGTGCTGTCCTGTATAATTTGGCAGTCTGGCAGCATTGGCACCCTGATGAGCAGTGGACATCGTCCGAATGTGACACTTAAAGTGCATAATGTTGGCGCCTTGTCTCAATTTCACAATTGCTCACTATCTTCGGGTTTGATCTGGCTGCCGCTCACAATACACAATTTCCCCTTTACCGTTCCGCTTCCACAGTGGAAGCAGGGCTGCGAGATATCGAGATAGCCTCATACTGCGGCCCTGTCTCCCAGGCTGAAATAGTCGATTTTCGATCCTCTCGATATTCGATAGATACCTCACACGGATATGGTGCACCGTGAACGGAGACGTGTGTCTCGCCGTATTGTTCAGGGTGTGAATCTCCAGGCTGGACTCCGACTGGGAGGGGCCGGATTTTCCATCAATTCATTCTAGAGAAAAAGGGGTATCGGGAAAGATTTGCCTTTTGATGACAAGAGAGGAATCAACTTGGGGGCTTTCACAGTATATTCTTCATCCTAGTCACCCTGTTCCTAAATTCCTTTTCCCTGCATGTTCACCTAGTGTAATTGGGTGTATTTCTATCAAACGAAACTGTGTGCATTGAGACGTCAGCCCTGAGACCCGTAAGAATATGTGTTTAACCGGGGTCGCGTCATAATGCAAATAATTCCGTTTGATAGAAATACGTCCAATTTGAACATGCTTACGCTGTACGGAACTATTTTAATATAATTAAAATCAAGAGAATTGCACAAGGTAAATGAATCAAAATTAACTACGAAGCACCCAAATTCTATACGCATGGCTATTTTCAATTTAACGTATTTGCATGAAGCTCTTTGTAGTATGAATACGTCAATTGATACATTGAAATTCTTGTAGAAGGCTTAAGCCTCATATTACACTGCGGGAAAATTAATTTTCGACTCGGCTATGAGCTTCATAACTAGGTATGAAAACACGATGAAGAAAGTGAACATGACCCGTCCACAGGGCACCACTTCGTATACACCGAGGAAATCACTTGATTAGAATTACCAAATTCGTGACGTCCCTTATGAGCTCTTACTAACTGTTAGTCGTAACTTATAATTGCATTTTTAACATTATGCTAGTAAGATTATCAAAATTATCGGTTATGGTTATTCCTTATGGATAGTTCATGCGGAACGCCAGCTGTAACGCGAGAATTTTAACCAATAAGGTTTTTTTTTCAGTGAAGATCACCGCTATTAATTTTACGCCACGTAAAAATATTTACTGGTTCATTCTTTTTGATAGCGTTTGATGGAGTCATATCTGCATTTTTATTTCGATCCAATTCGATAAAACTAAGAATCCTTGTGGAGACGTCACGACTAATAGAATATCGTCTGGAATTAATCGCGCTTAAACTGTGGAACTGTCTCGTTTATGGATTCCGCAAAGCCTCCTCAACATTTTCCCGGTAGCGCGGCTCATTTTTGGATGGCGACGCCAAGTGACTCGCCACATTACGACCGGCGCGAATAGTCTTCGGGACCCCCGTTGGAAGTTTTGGGTTGGTCTCCGCGCTGGCGCGCCGAGCCGCCAGTAGTCGCGTCAGGATTCGCCGAACTTTAGGGTGCCGTCGCGCGGTTTGTCCTGCGAAACACAATCAGCTGCAGCCGGTGAAATGATTATCGATAATTAATCAATCCACAGAACCAATTATTGAGGCTGATGTTTTTCAATCAGATTTGCAGCTTAAGACAATGTTCAATCCAACACTGAAAAAAAATATTGCTGAATTTGCCTTGCACGCGGGTATTTCATGGTATGGTGTAGCTAAAAAACGAACGTGCAAACCATGCAGGTAAAATCGCTACACTAATTTCAGCTAACTTACACACACGCGTGTAGGTGATTTTGCTCCCTGAAAAGCTAAGTCTGTTACCTTTTCAGTTATTCTTCCGTAAATTTCGCTATTTTTCCGTAAATTCCGCTATTTCAGCCTAACTATTGAGCTATTTTTACTGTTTGCAAAGTACCAATGCCAAAAAATGCAGTTACACTTCCAAGTCACTCGATGCAAGATTAACTGCATGAAGGCGCGCAGATGTAGCAAATCGGTGTAGCAATTCGTGCTAGTCGTTCACTTGATTCAACACCGTGCACGGATAAGAAAGCTTTACGAAGTGAAGCAAATTTTGCTCCACCCTGAATCGGTGAATTAGCAATCCTTTTTTTTCAGTGAATGGTCCAGCCAGTCTCAGTCCTAGCACACTATCGAAAATAATTTGCCACGGAAACATTGATGATCATACTCGGATTTTATACTGTAATTTGGTGCTTCTGTAGGCCCAAATTTCTTTACTTAACAAAGTAACAATGATTTTCGTTGTAGGTGACGGAATCGCAGTAATTTTCGGTGTTGCTTATTCGCTTATCAATCGGTCGTGTTATTCATGTCGATTGAGCCCAGAAGATGAGAAAATACAGCGAAACTGTGCAAGAAGGGGGGGGGGGGACCAGACATAACTCAAAATAAATTTATAAATTATGGAGTTGGTCTAACCCCTGATTTTTAAAAAACACTGTCCTCTCGTATGATATCACGACGCGCGAAGCAGGAGGGTTTTAAATTTCATGGTAACGTATGTTCAAACAATTTTTAAGATGATTGATTGAAGAACTCTTTTTAATTTATTTTATGGGAGACGCTCGTAAAGGACCTGAGGATAAAAATTCAAGGATAAATTTTTTTATTAAAAGCAATTCTCGTTAAAGCACTTTACGCAAGAATGTGAATATTCATCATTTTGCCTGAGGAGATTAATCCAAATCGAATATTGGTAGCCTCCGAGACTCATTGTCAGCGCAGCTACTTTCTAGCGGGCTCTCCCACTCTCCGTACGTAAATGCAGGGCGCCTCAATTAGTATTTACCTCGGCCTTTAACGAGGAAGCATTCCGTGATGGTGCTCCCTGTTTTATCCAACCGCCTCCGAACGCGACCGAAGAGCGCTCTGTTGCTAAATTGCAGTGCCACCGAACCCTCACGGAATTAATCCAGGTGCGGCCCCGGGTCGAGGCGGCAACCCTGGGGGCGGTGGGGATGCGACGGTCCATTTGGTGACAAACCGCGCGCGGGGTGGCGCCAGCGGGCCGCTTTGAGACGCCGTCGCTGCCGCCCGCATCAAAGAGACCGAATAAAGATCCAGCTGATTTGAGAGCAGTCCGCACGGAGATCCTGCGACATCCCTCCCCCTCGTGACCTCCCTTCCCCTTATTCTGGACCCCGGGGGCGCCGGCTCCCACGTGATGACACTCCGTTACCCCTCGTTGCACAGGCGAGAAACACGTGTAATTTGTCTTTTTTACCATCTAAATCCGATTC